AAGTGCAGTGGTGCATACTGTAATCCCCGTGGCTTAGGAGTCTGAGGCAGGGGGATGGCAAGTTCAAAACCAGCCTCAGCAATTTAGTGAGGTCCTAAGCAACTTAGCAAGACCCTGTCTCTAGATAAAATATAAAAAGGGCTGAGGATGTGGTTCAGTGGTTCAGTGCCCCTGGGTTCAATCCCCAGTACAAAAAAAAAGAAAAAGTAATTTTTCAAAATTAAACATTGCCACATGGGCTCACTTGAACCCTGGCCTAATTCACTGGAATTAGGCCAGGGTTCAAGTTAATTTGCCTGACGGAGTCAGGTGGCTGACAAGGCTGGTAAGAAAGAGAACAAGAGAAACAGATACACAGTTGAAGACAAAGGATGGTGGGATATGATTATTGTTGGAAGCAGAAATGCTTAATAACACAGAAGATGATAAAACTATAATTAGGGGGGACTGCTTTCTATATCAGAACAAAATCACTTTCATCTGATCAGTTTCCTACCAGTCCAAGGCTAAATTGACACAATCTGAATGTTAATCAGTAGTTAAATCTGATTCTCAAGCAAGCTCATTGGTAGTTCTCTAACATGATACTAAAGAGATAGGTAGCCATTTTGGAAATCTGATTTCCAAATTTTGAATCATTTTCCTTAACACTCAATAACTAAACATTTCTGTAAATTGCTTTCACTTCTCTCTCCCTATTTTTTTCCCCTCTTTCTCAACCACTTCAGTAAGGAAGATAGACGTGATATTTTGAACTTCTACGTTGCAAACACATTTGGACAGAATCCCAAGGTGATGGGAAACATAGGTGTCCCTGAAACCCCAGGGCTAAGAGCCCCTCATGGCTTTCAGGGAACTGGGCTGATGGCCACATGTCCTTCTGGCATAGTTCCTGGACCTTAGAGCTGTAAATGGCCCAGAGCAGACCTGCAGGCGTTTCCACCCATCTCTCTTCACCCAACCAATCTGTTACAAATGAGCTGACCTGTGATGGAGACCAGACCCATGTGGAAAACAGCTGGCTACTAAGAATTTATCTGCTCAGCTCCAAACAGGCAAGAGCTCTCCGCCCTTGGAGACTGAGGTCCCTAATGAATCAATGAAACTTGAACATAGAAACCTTTCACATGTGTAATCCCTGAATTGCAAGCATCCCAAATCAAGTGTTCCTGGCAGCTGGGGTTGACAGCTTTCTGACACAGAGCCATCAGGTAAATTGTGATACTTACTAGCTTTCTGATGGCATGGAGATTTATGAATATGGTAAATAGCCTTTGAGAAGCCAGCCCAGGGACTGCTACACTAAGGCAAATTGTTAAAATGAAGAGAACTAGAAGTTTTTCTCTGAACCTTAATGGCACAGTAAACCTTGTTTGCAAAAGTTACTAATGGTAATAAGTCACTACTGAATTAAATATGATTTTCCTGTGCATAAGCCCCATGCTGGATGAAATGTAGACACCTAACTGATGATTCCCTGGGTGAATCAGCACGTGTGGAATGCTCAAGATGCAAATGCAGAAAGCAAACAAATGCTTATCTGCAGGACAGATTTTATGGAAACCCCCACTTTGTTAAAATAGTGGTGGAGGAAGGGCCCTCAACCCTATCAGTCCAATGAACATGGGCCTCAAACAAATTTCAGCATATGGACAAAAATGCCATTCCCCAGTACAGACTTTTACCCACCACCTACATGCTGCATGGTGGGACCCTAAACTGACTTTTTGTACTCAACTGCGTACAGAGGCAGAGAGAGTTTGGATTAGTCATTCACACATTGGCAAGTATGAATAATGAGAATACCATTTGCAAGAAACACCCAAATAATAAGCCTAACCCCACGCCCATTGTGGAGGAGGGTGGTAATGGGGTTTATTAATGAGAGCCCCGTTTGTTTTGTTCTAAAAAGAGAAAAGAACATTTCTCCAGGCATTTTACTTAACTTGAAACCAATGCATCCTCAAAACCTTTAATAAAATATATCCCAGAGTACCCAGGAGAATATTACAGCAACAATAAAGAGTGCATCATCTATTGAAGGAAGATACCAGGCAGGACATACTTGGGAATTTGCTCCCGGATTTAGAGGGTGGAGTAGAGGTAGATGTCCAAAGGCCCAGTTTGCTGGAATTAAAAGCATCTGACTTTGGAGGTGGAAGATTTGCATTTCCTGTTCTAGAGGCATCTTAGAGATCTGTGAGGCCTTCCATAACTTCTAGAACCTGCTCGGCCCATTTCTTCATCTATACAATCTGTAAATACCTTTCCATAAGAATGCTTTTCACTGCATCTTGGATTTTGGAGGCATGGTCAATCCATAGACACCGAGCGCTGTGCATTGAGAGGCCAAGTGACACAATTTCACTGTGAGGCCCAGCTTTCTAGGGTTGGTGGCAAGAGCCATTTCCAAAAGACCACGTGGGCTCAGCAAATGTTTCCTCGTTGGTGTGGGATGTTGAGTTCTTTCTGAGCATTCTGTGGTTGTATTCTGGGGATCTGAGTTTGATGCCTGGCTCTATCTCTTACTAGCTTTGGGATGCAGGTGACTATGAACTCTCCAATCCTGTTTAGGGTTGTTCTGAGGATTCCACGAGGCAAAGTATGTCAAGGACCACAGCATAGTGTCTGAGCAGAGTTGCTCCCATTTATTGAGCGCTTACTGTTACACATTTGAATGACCAGTTCCAGAGTTCCTACTGTTTGCCAAATGCTAGGCAAGAGGTGAGACACAAAGGAGAATGAGTCATCATGCTTAGAGTGAAGGATCTTGACAATTTAGAGAGAGAAGAGGACACATAAAAGGGCAAGTACAGCACAGTATGGAATTCATCGCCTAAAAGTGAATTGAGGGTACCCTGGGAACACACAGGAAAGGGCCCCCCAAGCTCACCTCAGGAGGAGGCCACATGTCCTCTAGATCCGAAGGAGGAGCAGTGCTGTTTGACTGTGGTCAGGCAAACCTGGACTTCTGTGACACTGTTTCCCTCCCCGTGAATGGCAAAGCCCAAGGCCCAGCAGGCTCTGAGGATAGGTTCTGTCACTCCCTCTGTTCCAAGTGTTGGGGAAGGCAAATCAGGGAAAGCACAACACCTGTGTGCATGTGTGTGAGTGTGTGTGTGTGTGTGGGGGGGTGTTTAAAAGTTTCCCAAGAAATAAGCAAAGAGTATTCATTATTACCTCTTGTAAATTACGAGCAGAAAATCAGCTCTAATTTCTTTCCCATTGCTTCACCTTTTATCAGTATTTATTTATTTATTTTTTTGTACCAGGGATTGAACTCAGGGGCACTCGACCACTGAGCCACATCCCCAACCCTATTTTGTATTTTATTTAGAGACAGGGTCTCACTGAGTTGCTTAGTGTGTCTCTGTTGCTGAGGCTGGCTTTGAACCCTCCATCCTCCTGCCTCAGCCTCCTGAGCTGCTGGGATTACAGGTGTGAGCCACCACACCTGGTCTTTTGTCAGTTCTCACTACCACCATTATCATCATCATCATAGTCATCATCATCATTGCTCTGTTCTATTTAAAGCAGTGTATTGGGGTGGGAGATAGGGCCAAGCCAGAGGCTGGGGTATGGAGTCTCAGTGGAAAGTCTCAGTGGAAGGAGGGAGCGTCCATCCTGGAGTCTTCCTCTTTCTTCCTCACTCCCCCACCTCCCACTTCCATTTGTATTTCTAACTTCCAGTCATTCTTGGCCCACCATTGACTCAGGGTTCACTATCTTGGATTTTAACCATGGGTGCTCCAGCCAAGAGGGAAAAGAATCTGGGGGACCATGAAAATGTGGTTACTGTGTCCTCCTTGGAGCTGACCTTTCATGTATCCCAGAGAACAAGCATCCTGGGTGTGTCTGCTGATGCCAGACGCTGAGGACTCACCTGTCTGCATCCCCCAAGGTTGCTGTGGTAATATCACTCTTACTCTTGCCAGTCAGTCAGACCCACTAGCAAGGGTTTTATTTGGAGACTTCTTTAGAGGTTTGCAATAGTTGAAGGTAGTTATTTAAACTATTGCTTCCAGTGTTTCTGACCTTCCAATGACAGCAGGTGGTGAGGGTGAGCTGTAAGGACTGTTCTCTGCCTGCTACCACATCTTCCAGCTTTTTAGGATGTGATGATGAGCGATATCATATGCCTGGGACATGAGGTGAACAGTGGACATGCTCTCTGACTTTTGTCACCAAAGTCTCAAGACTTTCAAGTCTTCCCAACTGTCCCTCTCCTAGGTCTATACCAAAGGACTTAAAAAAAACAGCATACTCAGGGACACAGCCACATCAATGTTTATAGCAGCACAATTCACAATAGCTAAACTGTGGAGCCAACCTAGGTGCCTTCAGTAGATGAACAGATAAAAAAAATGTGGTATATATTCACAATGGAATATTACTCAGCAATAAAAGAGAATAAAATCATGACATTTGCAGGTAAATGGATGGATTTAGAGAAGATAATGCTAAGAGAAGTTAGCCAATCCCCAAAAACCAAATGCTGATTTATATATATATATATATATAAGAAGGCTGATACATAGTGGGATAGGGAGCGGGAGCATGGGAGGAATAGATGAACTCTAGATAGGGCAGAGGGGTGGGAGGGGAAGGGAGGGGTCATGGGGTTATTCATGATGGTGGAATGTGATGATCACTATTACCCAAAGTATAGGTATGAAGACACAAATTGATGTGAATATACTTTGTACCAGAGATATGAAAAATTGTGCTCTATATGTGTAATAAGAGTTGTAATGCATTCTGCTGTCATATATAAATAAAAAATTACATTAAAAAATGCAAAGTTTTAAAAAAAAGACTGTTCAACTTTCGAGTCTTGGTTGGGTCTTCTTCTGCCTTGCTCATTTTGAGGTCTGGGCTTTGCCTGACCCACAGGGCAGGGTTTTGGAGGTGCCAACACCTTCCCAGAGGGGTGTTATGAGGGGGCAGCCGGCAGTGGCCGCCCTCCCTCACCTGTGCCTCTCTTGCCCCGTTCTCTCCAGGAGCGGCCGAGCCGACCTGGCAGCCATATACCACGAGCGCATCGATGTGGAAGGCCACCACTATGGTCCTTCATCGCCTCAGAGGAAAGACGCCCTCAAGGCTGTGGACACCGTCCTGAAGTACATGATCCTGTGGATCCAGGTGACTTAAAGCAGGGACAGCTGGCCAGTGGGGTTGAAGTGACCAGGATGAGCATTATCACCTGGCTGGCTTGGCCAGAGAGCTGGCCCTGTTCTTCAGAACCTGCACGCAAGTGGCAACCAGCCTGGCGGGGACACGGGAGCCACACCTGGGTTCAAAACACCTGTTTTGTTTTCCTTCTTGTTTGTTTTTGGTTTTCTTTCCTTTCCATTTTTTAAAAATATCTGTAATGTGAGCAGATGATTATTCTCAGATTACCACGCGAGTTCGTTGAAAGAGTGAGTCAAAATAAAAACAGTGTCTACCTTAAAAAGCCAGAAGTCTGTTCTTACTTTTCAGCATGTATTTGGATGGGGGCTGTGCTCTCCTGTCCTGTCCACTAAAGTGTTCTGCCATGATGTTGAACTGCGTCTCATCAGGATAAACCGGTGGATGAGGAAATTTGGAATTGAGGAAATATCCCTTTTCCTACAAATTATAGTTTGTTTATTTGTTTGTTGTCCTGGAGATGGAATAGGAACTCTCCACTACTGAACTACGTCCTCAGCAGTAAAAAAAAAATTAACATTTTAAATTTTGAGACAGGGTCTCACTAAGTTCCCGAGGCTGGCCTCACACTTGTGATCCTCCTGCTTCAGCCTCCTGAGTTGCTGCGGTTACAGGCATGTGCCACTGCACCCAGCTAATTTGTAGTTTAAAAGCCTCTACATGAGACTTGTGTGTGTAAGAGCCTCTCTAGGTGCTGTGGTGACTGCCTTTGCCCACCCCACAGGAGCGGGGCCTGCAGGACGACCTGAATGTCATCATTTTCTCAGATCATGGAATGACGGACATCTTCTGGATGGACAAAGTGATTGAGCTGAGCGAGTACATCAGCCTGAATGACCTGCAGCAAGTGAAGGACCGGGGGCCTGTTGTGAGCTTGTGGCCCGCCCCTGGGAAGCACTCTGAGGCAAGCAATACCGTCATGGGGGAAGGGGTGGCAGATGCATCCTAATTTTCCCCAAGGTGCTTTATCTTCTCCCATAATTTTTTTAATTTAATTTTTTTTGGGGGGGGGGTACAGGGGATTAACCCAGGAGCGCTTAACCACTGAGCCTCATCCCAAGCCCTTTTTTGAGATGGGGTCTTGCTAAGTTGCTTCGGTCCTTGCTAAATTGCTGAGACTGGCATTGAATTTGCTTTTTTTTTTTTTTTTTTTTTTTTTTTTTTTTTTTTTTTTTGGTGATGCTGGGGATTGAACCCAGGGCCTTGTGTATGTGAGGCAAGCACTCTACCGACTGAGCTATGTCCCCAGTCCTCTCCTACAGTTTTAATGTTGAAATATATTTTAGCATTAGGTGCTTAGGCTGTGAAGGAAGGTGACCTAGTTTGTCATTCACTCACCAAGTGACCAAGTGGTTCATTTTCCCTGGCTCTATCCTTCTCTAGAATGGTATCTACCCCAGTGGTTTCTCTGTAATGATATCTACTTTATAAAAGTCAAATAAATTCAAGGATGTGCAGTACTCAGCAGGCGACCAGCACACGTGAGCAAGCCCTGATTAAGGCTATTTTATTATTGGCTAAAAAGCATTATTTCTTAGGTAAATAAGGGGACTCTCTGAGGCAGACAGAATGCTTTTCCTCTGGGAAGAAGCTGTTTTCAGCAGGGAACTGGAGATATGAACGTGCTGAACCACAGAGGGAGGACCCGTGTGCACAGGATCGGGTATCTATCTCAGAGCCACAGCCCTGTCCAAATGCTAGCTCTACCATCATCTGAGCACCAGGCAAAACACTTACCCAGGCTCTCTGTTGCTTTTCTGTATGTCGACGTGACAACATCATTACAGTTGTCCCTCGCTACTACTGAGAGTGCATGGGAGCTCACGGAAGTGTGCTGGCCCCTTGCAACGATGCTGCATGGGTCTCTTATTATGATCACTGCCTAAGTTGAATGTCCTTGAGGGGGGTTGAGTCTCCACAGTGTGCAGATGGGGGACAAGGCTCTGCCACTACCTTCCTGGAAAACCTTGAGGTGATTAGACCTTGAGTACCATTTTCTCAAAACAATAATTGTGGATGGAAGTAGGTGGGAAGCCATTTAGAGAAAATGGAGAAGTGTCACCTTTGACTTAGCACTTGACTCTCCAGCTGCTGGTATCTCCCAGTGCAGGCTAGGGAGCTTCTGCCCAGGCCCAGATAACACTGATCAGGACCAGGAAGAAGCTGTCTTTCTCCGGGAAGGTGAGGCCACTGCTGGTTGAGGTTGTCAACCACCGTAGGGAGCCAGGAAGAGGCCCTGGGGCCAGTGGCTCCATCCATCTTGTGGCACGAGGCTATTAGTGCTGAATACTTAGTCTCATTGGAGGAGACAGTTGGCAACAATGTCAGGACTCCCCAGACTCATGCCATTTCCCTGTCCCCAGGGTGTGGGGGGTGCTCCTCTCTTCTCAGGCTCTGTGGTCATGAATTCCCTAAATATGCCATTGAAAAGGGTATTTTTCACATGGGCAGGTTCTAGAGAAGGAGTTCTGTTTTCTTGGTGAGGAAGATCATCTTTGTCTCCAATTGGCACTTAGGAGCGTGCTGTCTCCACAACACTCAGCACCAGCAGCCTACAAGCTGGGAAGAGCTTTGTCGAATGTGATGTTTAAGTCAAGTGACCTTTAGTCGGCAAGCAGTCTATAGCAGTCGGTAGATTGCTCAAAAGTGGGGGCCGTGTTTGGGTGACAGTTTGTCAGGTGACCGGCACAAGAGTTTGCAAGGCCTCTTGTGTGTCTCCAGATTTTCATTTACTCCAAATCCTTCTGCATGTGAATCCTACTTTCCTGAAGAACTCTGGGTTTTCTTAAGTATCATAGCTTAACTTGTGGGCTCATCAGAAACCCTCTGCTAAACATCCTAAAGACTAATTCTTTTTCACACTTGAGTTGATAAACTCAATTTTATATTCAGCAATACAGAGGAATGTATGCCCGGTTTGGCTAAAGACCAGCAAGTCAACATCAGCCAGTTGATTTTAATGTTAACTATAAATATTTAAGCTGCTGCTAAATATTGAACAGATGTGCCAAGTTTATGTTTTTGTTATGAAATCATTGATGTAGTTAACAAGCAATTACTAGTATTTTTTATTTTTTTATTTATATAGGACAGTGGAATGCATCATGATTCTTATTACACATATAGAGCACCATTTTTCTTATCTCTGGTTGTATACACAGTATATTCACACCAATTTGTGTCTTCCTACTTGTACTTTGGATAATAATGATCATCACATTCCACCATCATGAATAACTCCATGCCCCCTCCCTTTCCCTCCCACCCCTCTGCCCTATCTAGAGTTCATCTATTCCTCCCATCCTTTCCCTCCCTACCCCACTATGAGTCAGCCTCCTTATATCAGAGAAAACATTTGGCATTTGGTTTTTTTGGGATTGCCTAACTTCACTTAGCTTTATATTCTCTAACTTCATCCATTTACCTGCAAATGCCATGATTTTATTATCTTTTATTGCTGAGTAAAATTCCATTGTGTATATATGCTACATTTTTTAATCCATTCATCTATTGAAGGGCATCTAGGTTGATTCCACAGTTTAGCTTAACTACTAGTACTTTTAAGATTCATGCTCCCTAGGTCAGGTTAAAGAGCACATGCTTTTCCTTTGATCTTTAGGGTATTTAACATTAAACAAGATAATTTCTAATTTGTCTTTCAATTTTATTGTACAAAATTTTGACATCAATAAATTTTTGCAAAGTGCTCATTAGTTGTTGAGTGTATACAAAAGGATTATCATAATGTGTACAACACACAAAGAATGATATTGTAACAGCTTCCTTATATTCACTGAATATTTAAGAAGTACAACATTACCCTTATTGGTGACATCACTTTCATGTCCTTCTGAAACCCATCACCTTTTCTAGTCTCTCAGAAGAAATCACTTTCCTAAATTTTAAGTTACCATTTTTGCGATTCTCTTTATAGTTTTGCCGTATGTATTGTTTGTTTTTATAGGTTACTTGAACTTTATGTAATAAGAATGGTATTGCCTGTATTTTTCTGCAACTTGCATAATTTCCCTCAAACTGAGATCCCTTTTTGTTTGTAGCAGTATTCCCTTCATCTGTGTAGAATTCTACCACAAACCTCTGCGGTCTTTCTTTATCCCTTCCACTGTGGCTGGGCATCTGGGCTCTTCTGTAGGTTTATAGGTCCAGGCACATGAGGGTTTATCTATCCCTAGGGATGAACTTCTTAGGTCAGAGGGGACATGGATCTTCAGCCTTACTAGATAAGGTCAGCCTATTTTGAAAGCTACATAAAACCCTCTCATTTTTACATAGTCAAATCTACCAGATGTTTGGTAATATCTCTGCTTGGCCTTTAAAAGAGTCCCCCATTCCATAGATGCAATATATTGAAGAAAGAGAATGCAAAACTGGTTGTTCTCTGTTTTCTTTGCAGATATATGACAAACTGAGCCAAGTGGAACACATGACCGTGTATGAGAAGGAAGCCATACCAAACAGGTTCTATTACAAGAGAGGGAAGTTTGTCTCTCCTTTGACTTTAGTGGCCGATGAAGGGTGGTTCATAGCAGAGGTAATTATAAAACACACCCCACTTTGTTCGTGCTACAAATTCTGCTCTGACACATAAGAGGTGCCTCCACCGAGGTATCGTTCCTGGCATTCTTTCCTTCCTCGGGGAATCAAAAGCCTCCATTAGGTGACTTTGTGGACACAAACTGCAGATGCAAACCCAGGGTCACGGTTTAGACTCCCTGGCTCCAGCATTGCTGGCGTTCAACAAACAGGCCTTAACTCAATTATTGCCGCTTGCCACGTCACCTGTTCTGTTTAAAGCGGAACAATTACTGTGAACCCAAGCAATCGCTTTGGGGCAGTAGAAAGCGGAGAGAAGCTCATTGCTTTCACCTTTAAGAGAAATGTTTGGCAGACGGGACTGTGCAGAGCCAGGTCCCCCAGATGCCAGCTTGATTTCACAGGGATGAGCTTGTATTTTTGGCTCCAACCCTAGTCGCCTGGTGCCTGAATGACCCCAACAGCCTCTTCCCGGTCTGCCCGACTCCGGGCTCACCAAGGTCTCACATCAGCTTATGCTGTGGGGACCTGACCTTCAGGGGAATCTGAGGACACATCGTGTTCAGGATCAATTCCTGAAGAGGACTTGGGTTATTTTAGATATGAAGTTGATGGCGGGTTGCATTTAGATCAGATGACACCGTGGAAAAGAGTCCCATGAGAGTGGTTGTTGAGACCCATGATGATGAGACCTGAGACTGGAAATAACCCAGAAGAGGGGGAGACAGAGCAGGGGGTGACCAGGGGAAAAATATGGACTGGGTGAGTGGAAGTCCAGAGGCCTGTGGGTGGAAAAATGGGGGATCTGGGACATGAACTTCAATTATTCAGGACCAAGTCTCTCTCCTGTGCTGGCAGGTAAAGAGGAGCCCCTGGTCCTGGAGGAACTGAGAACACAGCAGATCTCGATAGAAACTTTGGCCCCACAGTGCAGAGGCAACAGTGCCCCAGAGTGTCCCTTCCTATGCCAGGTGGTTTAGAAGGTCTCTAAGAGGGTTCCTGTGCCCACTAACACTGTCTCCCGAAGACCCAAAGCAGTTCTCCTCACTTTGTCTCACGGTTAGGAGTTCACCCGAAGGGAAGCTGTGGAGACCCCACATGGTCCTTTATGGTGGTTTCTAGGGCTGTGCATTTAACACGCATGCACTGGGCCACCTGGGTTGATGCCTGGAGTGTGACTTGATTGGTAAACAAGCGACCGAGCTCACTTTTGCAACTTCTTTTATTTTATAAAAATTCCAGTGGAGTTGCTTTGAATTTGAAAAGCAAATAAACCGTGAGGATCAGTTCACAGTTTGCTTCTACTCATGTCTTAACCTGAATATGTGAATCTATTGTTTACTTTCTCTTATTTAGTTGAAACCAAATACCCTGAAAGTTTATGGTAGAGAGGGAGACTGGAAGAAAGCAGGGTGACTTGGGCAGTTTGGTGGAAAACAGGATGAGGTAGGGGAGTGCAAAGCCAGAGCTTCCCGTGGAGATGCTGGACGACAGCAAGGTACCACTTACGTCCACGGGAACAGCTTTGGATCCCTCTGGTAGCAGTGGGGAGGGGCTGGTGGAGTGCTCTAGCTAGGAGTGGAAGTCCAGTGACCTGGTCATGGGAAAAAGGGAGGTTCCTTCTAGGTTGGCAAGGGTTGTCTGGGAAGTAACTATGGTCTCTCAGTAGCAGCTCGTCCAGCAAGAAGATGTAGATCTTTCCAATGAGTGACTAAAGCACCACAATGAGGGAGACCTAAGTGTATTGATTAAGATGCCCTTGGTTGTAAGTCATAGGCTGTTTGAATAATGGCTGAAGTAACAAAGATTTACTCTTTTGCTTAACTGAAAGTCTGGAGGTAGGCTATTCCAGGGTTGTTTAATTCCGACCCCGAGTTAACTTCATTACAATTCTTCTGATTTTCCTTTTAAGGCCACAAAATGGCTGCTGCAGCTCCAAGCATCACACTCCCTCAGAACATCACAAAGCAGGAAAGAAAGGGTGTAGCTTCTCTTTGCACATCTCCTACTTTTATCAGGGAGCAAAATAATAGACCCCAGAACCAGGGATAGAAGCAGGTTTTGTGGGTCTTTGAAAATGTTGGAATTTGTGTGAGGAGAACATTCTCTTTAAGAATACATTATGTATAGTTAAAATGCACTAACATTTTATATTAACATTAACTATACATAGTTATGAAGACAAAACTAGGTATAGGGACTTAGAAGAAGCTCACTCACCTGAGAGACTCTAATGCTTAAATTTCTTGAACTGCACTCAAAACAGAAGTTCAGAAACCACTAGCAACTTCCCTCCTCGGTCTTATCAGTCATCAATGGATAGTAGGGGTAGAAAATTTCTGCCCTGGGCCAGCTTTGGTTCTGGGTTCTGGAACTGTGCTGTGTTGCAGACCAGGTGGCCACAGTTACTAAACAAAAGAGAGGCAGAAGCTGGGGATTAGGCAGACATGGCCCCCAAAACAAAGAAGAGCAAAGAGGAGAGAAGAGTAGGAGCGACTGACCATCTCTCACATCCTGACCAGCCAAGGCCTCTCAGGACACCCTGCTTTCAGGACTCACCCCTGCAGGAAACTAGCAAATTACAATCTTCTGAGAGTGAGGCCATGTGATCATTGCACATATTATACGTTACTTTTCTATGTATTGCACACACACACACACACACACACACTCACACACACACACACATATTCATTTGAGTAAATAAAAACTAAGAGTCAGTCAGCAGGGGCTCCCCACAGCACAGAGGGGAACCTCTGGCAATGACTAGAGCAGCATTTAAATCATTATTCTCAAAAGGGAGCTTGGAGGTGATTGCAAAGATATGTGAAATAGAAAGTTAAAAAAAAAAAGAAATCAGAAGTAAGATAAGTGGTAGGATATGAGAAAACAAGATTCATCATGTATAATTAATTAAAAAAAAAGAAAATCAGATTTTCTCTCAAAGATTATTGTCAAATTGCTAATACAGAAACTCTCGATGATACTCACACTTTTAATTAGCAAAGATGAGTACCCGCTGTGCTTGGGTAAGTAGAATCTTTGCCTGACCCTCTGTGCAAAGTTTCAGTGACATGCACATAAAGCTATTTTACATTTTGCAGATAAAACTAGAGATCACTGATTTTTTAACTTTGGCCAATAATAACAAGATGATAATCTCTCACTTATTTCTCTCTCCCTCTGTCTCTGTCTCTCTCTCTCTCTCTCTCTCTCTCTCTCTCTCTCTCTCT